AATACGGTCTTTGAACTTGCTAGTGAAGAGTTCCAGCTTCCCTTTGAGTTCTTCACTGGCGTACAAGGGCTGGAGGGCTTGTAAGCATTTCAGTCGCACATCACCTACTTTATCATGGAGTGTCCAACCAATGTATTTCAGGTACGAGTCATCCAAAAAGTTTTGGTGGAATTTCTTCATCCACAAGCCAATTTCTGCCATACAGATAGAGCGGATTTCAGGCAGCGTGTCCCTGTGAAAGTAATGTTCGCATGAGCTGAAATTTTAACTTTTTTTATGTAAATGTATCTGAATTCTCTAATCATAGCCAATAAAAAAAAAACAATGTTTAATTTTTTTCATATAATATTCACTCCATAGAAAAAGAAGAAAGTGTGATAGCATTCAAGGTTTCAAGTGATAATTGTTTTAGTTAATCAGTATTTCAAATAAGCTGTAATTATAACAGCTTGTTGAATAAAAATAAATAACTAAAAAAACAAAGAATAAAACCTTCTAAACCGAATATTTGCAATAACTGAGGCAAGCTAAAATAATGTGTGAACTATGCACAAACCTATTTTTCTACAATAAACAACTATATCTTCACTAATACTAGAATCATTGAACTTCAGCAAAACTGATCTCTTAATTTCATACTCTAATCCATACATTATATGAGAGTAGACCTGTACTGGTACTATACCAGTATAATAGATTAGGTAAATGTCCAAAATACTGGAATCCTGGTGTACCAATACTGAACCTGTATAAACCTAAATGAACTTACATTTAAACATATTTTCTCTTATTGTGACTAATGCATTTTAATACAACTACGATGTGATAATCACACATCTTGGAACAGACCACAATATTTCAGGCAGCCTGCTTCCATAGCAATGATGATTTCTAAACTTGGAATGTGAGCCAGTGAAATTTTTGTTTTTGTTTTCATATAAATATTACCTCAAAGCTTTTGCTGTGGTCACTGCTGGCAGTGATGGTGAAGATTTATAAATCCCATGTAAATGGCTTGTCTCTAACACAGGTAAACATTCTGTTCAATCTGTTTAAGCGATTCAAATATGCTCCTGTCCTTATTGAAGACTGACCATTATTTGATCAAGTAGTACGAAACTGTACCTAAACCCGTCTACCTGGTTATCATTTCTATAATTTTCAAAAATCTATTTGAATTTATTTTTTCATAATGTAAGAAGGGTGAGATGATATTCTAGCCCTATACCCAAATGGGATAGCAATATATGCTTTGAAAATATGTTTCCAATATAAATAAAAACTTGTTTCATTATATCATAGACAACTTTTGATATGTAACTGAATATCAGTAATCATAACTTAAAAGATGTTGAGTGAAACCACAATATCTAGGGCTACTGTGAGCTAAGTTATGACTGAGAATGAACATCTTCACAATATGTGTATTTAAATGGTTTCAAAAATATCTTATCAGAAATTTCGGATGAAGATATATTCAAAACTGGTCAACCCAATAAATAGACATTGCGGGGCGTACCGCCAGTGTGATGTAGGATCGGAGCTTGTGCTCCAATTCTGTTGCGGGCCGCTGCCAGCACATGGGTAAATTCCGGGCCAGCCCCATGCGCCGATTTTGAAGCTGTCCAGAAACTATTATTTTCGGCTTCAAAATATACCGGCGCTAGTGGGTTAAATACATCTCTTGTATTGTGAAGATATTCATTCTCATTTATACCTTTCCTTCATTCATCACAATGAATACAGTTCTAATGTAAGCTATATAATAAAATGCATTCCAAGTTTATTAAATCCCCATTCTATTTAATACATGAAACTAATATTCTTACCTGTATCTATGTACAAAGACAGACTTGAACATGTACGTGAGCATATTCTTGATTTCATCCATGTTCTCTTCCAGTTCTTGTCTTTTTGACATCAATGACTCAAGACGGTCAGATGCACGTTTCTCACGAGACTGAAGAGAAAAGCAATAAAAACAATGAATAGCGTTACTTCACCATTCACTATAGAAAAATTCATATGACCAAATCATCTTGCCTTTGAATATTTCAAAATGTGTTACAGATTATATATGGACTATATACCTTCTGTCTCTCTGACTCATACTGGCGCTGGGTGTTATCAAGGTTGACAGACACCGTCAGAGCAACATCCACCAATGCTGTCATCAGTTTCATGGCTAGCCATTAAAGATAATGCACATTAAAATATGAAACCAGTAAAAAGAGGTTTTCAAATGCTTACATAAAAAATTCCAGCACACTGTTGCTTTCAACCTGATGCAATACAATTTGGATATTTCCCTTCAAATATCCAAACTATTTTATAAAATGTTAAAGCACATTACAAAGGAAGAAATTACAATCATACGGTGAAATGAGAGAAGAGCAGCAGGAGGATGAGAAGAAAAAAAGAAGAGAGAAAAAAAGAAAGGTTCTTTGGATGAGATTATTTTCTTGGGAGTAATAATCCATATATACTTGTTTATACTTTCTTTATAATTGAAAAAAAAAAAAAAAAATATATATATATATATCAGTCTATATATACCATTTCTAAGCCCTTTACTCTGAGTGATTTACAAATTTCAAAGTCCTCTATTCTAAATAATAATAATCATATACAGCAAATTCTACTTAGGAATCTTATCATCAGTAGTTACTTTACAAGAGGCTTTTTCTCATTAACATTTAAAGCTGAGATGCTTGAAACATATGCTATGTCTACTGTGATTTTAGTTTATTAACTGTGTTTTCAGAAAGATTCTTTTATACTCCTCATGTTATCAACATTTCAATAACTTAATCATAATTTCAATAATTTTCATCATCCTCATCTTTATAACAATAATAAAAGATAATAAAATGAAATGATAGAACAAAATAACAGTAAAATATAATAAAAATAATAATAATAACAATAATAAAACAAAATAACAGTAAAAAATAATAACTAAATGAAATAATAATAAAATAACAGTAAAAAATAAAACTAAATGAAATAATAATAAAATATGAGAACAAAAATATAATAATAATAATAATAATAATAATAATAAAAATAATAAAATAAATAATAATAATAATAATAACAATAACAATAATAAATAATAATAACAATAATAATAATAATAAATAATACAACAACAACAATAACAACAACAACAACAATAACAATAGTAATAATATCATTAATAATAATAATAACAACAACAATAATAAATCAAGGCATCAGGAAATAAAGTAAGGCCACACAGGGCCTATTAACTGACTCTTTGGTAGCTGCAACAAAATTCATACAAAATAACAGTGGACATTGAACAGAAATGGGAGACTTAGAATTGCAACCAGGTAATACCTTACTGCACTGATATCAATACCCCATGAAAGATGATCTTATGAAAGATAATATGAAAGAGAAAAATGAAAAAAAGAAAAGAAAAGGAAAAGGAAAAAAGAAAAGACAAAGGAAAAGGAAAAAAGAAAAGAAAAAGGAAAAGAAAAAAAAGTAATTCTAAGAAAAATGGCTGAGTTAGTATTAATCAAAATGGAGAAAAAGGGGGTTAAATTGGTAAAAGTATCATTATATAATGCTAATGCAAGCCCTCAAATAAACACAGTTATTAAACATTTCTTTCATTTCATTAAACAAACCAGTATCCATAAACTTTACTTGATATTGAGATTCCATTTAAGGCTACTATTCTTTGATCAAAAATTTGAATAAAAAAAAAATTAAATAAATAAAAACCTGTAATTGTGGATATACAATCAGTAACATTAAGGAATCCTTCCCATATAAAAGTGGAAAAAACAACATCATCAACATTAAACAGTATATACAATGACAATATATTCCCTATTCGGAATACACTTAAGACCATTTACTCCTATTCATTCCAAAGTTAATCATTAACCCCTTCAATCCGGGTAACATGACCATCGCATCACAATTTTTTTTGGCTTGTGCGGCCGGTGACGCATACTTGCCATCATAAGAGAAGGCCAGGATGATAAAAAATGACTCACCATGAGTGCATAAACCACTTGGAGGGTGATTAGACTCATTTGGCATTTAGAAAGGGACTTCTGTATTATTTCCACAGATAAACAAACGTGGAATATAAAGTCTGTGAGCAAGGGGGGGGGGGGGTCATTTATTACATAGATAAATAATATGGAGTCTGTGCAAGGAAAATGGTCTATTACCATTTGAAATGAATGAAGCAAATCAAAAGACAATTATAGACATTCAAAAATGGAAAAATAATAATAATAATAATAATCATAATAAGAGAACATAATAAATAAAATATAAAAAATAAAAATGCTAAAGCAAAATAGCTTTGCAAAGGGGAGTCTTGTCTCCACACACAAGTGTTTGCATGCACCCGGCCTACACACCACACACCCGGCAGAGTACTTGCTTACATAAGCCTAATGCCCGTATTTTGGTCCACATGATTGCCTTGAAGCAACCGGATTCAAAGGGGTTTTAAGACAACAAATTATGAATCTTATCACAATGTAACATTAAAGCTAAGAAATAATTTCTAATACATAAAATGGATGACAAAACTCAGCAACAGACCTACAAAAAAAAAAAAAAAAAAAAAAAAAAAAAAAAAAAAAAAAAATATGCATTTGAAAAAAAGGTTAGGTTCAAGTAAGTTAATACCTTCAAACAAGTTCACCTTATATTAAACCCTTATCAGATACAAAGTACAAACACTGGAAGAAAGATTATACTTTATCATTATTGGTCATGGGTTCCCAATAAAAGCAGAAGTCTAATATGAATAAGAGGCAGTGTATCTATGAAGTGTCTCATTGAGCAAAGTAGGAATTACTTTGTATCTTAAGTATAATGTACGGACTGTAATGTAACATATAAAACAAACAGTTTACTCATCAAACTTATTTTTACTTTCCTCTTATTCCTTATATACAAAAAAGTGGATATAACTGCATGTAAAGATATGACAGCTCTTGATGTAACTACTCTGATTACGTCATTTATAAATAAAAATATTCAGTCATAAATTTCAACATATAATATTCTAAAGAAACATTTGGGAACCCAATTTAGTTGATGTATTAATACAAACCATATAAAACAGGTCAACCACAGATATAAAATGATAAGTTAATTTTGGCCATATTCATTGGAAAAGACTTCATACACAAATAATACACTCAGTACTTCAATACCCAGCATAACCTCATATCTATATACCTATTTCCTTTATGATAGGACAGCAGCATTGTTTGCTGTTGGCAACTTTGAATCTTCACATATAAAAAACATGTATTATACCAACAAGATCAATGCCATATCATAAAAGAACATTTTAAAAATCTATGATAAACTTCAGAGGATAGTCTTTAGATTGGTTATCAGTAGCTTTGATTCATGAAACAATATCTGGATACCAGGATCTTGACAAATTTCAGATTGTTAAGAAATTCTCTGGCATTCCTTATAAAACATGCAATTCTGGAATCTATTTATAACCTGCAATCTTTCATTATGTATTTCAGAAAACTAGGAGCTAAGCATGTACTATAGCAATCAATAGTAACTCAGCTTTTAAAGATTGTATGCTAAGCTTCATTAGCAATACTAGTCTAATACTATTACTAATACAAATATTATTATATAAACTTTGTAAACCCTAAAATATGTGGAAAGTAATGAAAACAAAAATAAAACACTGTACTAACCTGCGAGTGTTGCTGTGTGTCGGAAAGCTCTGACTTGAGAGTCAGAGAGGCCGGTGAGGAGAGAGATGACGTTGTCCATAAGGTACTGGTCATAGATAATGGAGTACTGACACTGTTTCACCAAAAGCTGCACAAACTCGCAGAAGTTACTGCGAAATTTCTTCCACTGCTGACCGCTCTGGATTAATGGATACTCACCGCTTTCCTGCAAGCCACAAATAGTTGAATCTGTATCACACCGCTTAGACATACACGTTCAGCAGACAAGCTTACCCTAGGGCTACGTTGATTGGATATTTTCATGAGGGTGACTTACCCGAGCCTATTCCAGCAGCATGAAAAAGCGAAGGCTACCTGAAATAGTACGCATAGGTCTGCTGCTAAGTGACTACAGTGTTTACATTACAGGACTCAGATCATTTACAGATCAAACCAAAAGCATATGGCCAGCAACGACTAGTATACCTCCTCAAATTCCTCTGTCATTCGCCTGATGATCTCAGCATGTTCCATGGTAGCTTGCATATGTGGTGTAATCTTGCCCTTGCAACCAGCAGCATTGATGAAGAACTGCATAAGCTGTAGTAGTGCTCCATCACGGTTATCCTTGTAAGAGTCTATCCAATCATCAACCACTTGCTGTAAAACAAGTGACTTTTAAAATAATATAATGATAAAATTTAAATACTGGGTGGTCAGTAAAAGGAAAAAAATGAAGAAGAGGGAATAGTAGTTATCTACAAAACAAGGTCTAGCTAGTAGAGGAAAGGAGGGTGGATATTAAGAGGAAGAGGGAGGGAAAAGTGTGTCTTCTTAGGACATATTGAGTTGTTAGGTGGCCAGGGAAACTTAGCTTACATTTACCCTTTTCTTGTAGGGATCCCAAGAAACTGACTGGATCCTTGAGTAAGAGTGTGGGTACAGACTGCCCAAGGAGCAAGGATGAAGAAGTGCTATTATACAATGCTAATAATGGAGGGATGTTAATGTATAGCAAAGGCTGAGCTAATTCTGCTTTCACCTCTCTTGATGTCTGGAGAGGTCATGTGATCATCATATGGGCCAGGAACACCAACAAGGTAATAGCACTATTTATAAATAGCCACAAGTTTTGAAGATATTAAAGCACAGTTTCAAACATGACTTTCAGCACATGTTTTGGGAAAGGAGAGAGGGAGGGGGACCAGGAAAAGGAGGACAGAGTGAGGGAGGGGGAGGGAGAGTGAGGGAGGGGGAGGAGAGTGAGGAGAGGGAGGGAGAGAGAGGGAGAGAGAGAGAAGAGAGGAAGAGAGAGAGAAGAGGGGAGAGAGAGAGAGAGGGAGGAGAGGGAGGGAGGGAGGGAGGGAGGGAGGGAGGGAGGGAGGGAGGGAGGAGAGAGAGAGAGAGAGAGAGAAGAGAGAGAGAGAGAGAGAGAGAGAGAGAGAGAAGAGAGAAGAGAGAGAGAGAGAGAGAGAGAGAGAGAGAGAGAGAAGAGAGAGAGAGGGGGGGGAGTGGGAGGGGGGAGTAGGAGGGAGAGAGAGGGAGGGGAGGGAGGGAGAGGGAGGGGGAGGGAGAGAAAGGGAAGGGGAGGGAGAAAAAGGGAAGGGGAGGGAGAGAAAGGGAGGGGGAGGGAGAGAGAGAGAGAGAGAGAGAGAGAGAGAGAGAGAGAGAGAGAGAGAGAGAGAGAGAGAGAGAGAGAGAGAGAGAGAGAGAGAGAGAGAGAGAGAGAGAGAGAGAGAGAGAGGGGGAGGAAGGAGAGAGAGAGAGGGGGAGGAGGGGGAGAGAGAGAGAG